AGGAGTTGCTGGGCAGCTTCCGAAGGCACTCTACCCATTACTTAATGCCTTCCAGTGAATTCTGACTCCGACCCTGTAGGACAGACTTAACCCTCCCACCGGCTTTCCGGCGCTGTTGTCTTGACAGAGGCGACTGCAGTGTGGCGGCGGCTTAGCCAACAGGCAAGCTTAAGCACGGGCTGAATGGTGGGCACTTGCTAATCTGCCGTGCACAGTTTCTTGTGAGTTTTACCACATCTTTGAACCGGTTTGACCCCCCCTGCTAAGAAATCGCCTTTCCACCGCCAGATATACTGAATCAGAATCAACGGTTTGACAAGACCTCCAGGTGGTTCTTATAGATCCTCAGGTGATCTTGGTAAAATGTTGACTCTGATTCTATATGCCTGGTGTGGAAATAAGGAGCCCTGGGGTGGTGCGGTGGTCCAGTGCTCGGCTGTTAATCCAAAGGTCGTCAGTTCAAATCCAGGGGAGAAAGATGAAACAGCCTGCGTCTATCAAGGTCAGTCTGGGAAACCCTGGGGGGCAGCTGTACTCCACTCTCTCAGCTGCTGTGTGTTGGAATCTACTTTATCTCCCCCCACCCACAGGGGAAATGCGAATTCTCAGCAGATGGTTGAGACAGAATGGATCACTTTAAAGCCCTGAACACAAGTAAGCAAGTGCTTATTTTGCTTCCTGGGTGCTCCATCTGTCAGTCCCTGTCAGGGATTATAAATTTGAAAAGAGGCTTTGCTTTTGTCAGAAGGAAGGTGTTATGGGGCTGGGAAAGAGATGGCTAACACCTGCTAGTCATCCCTAGAAAGCAGGCTCTTTGTGGAAGAAAATGTGAAATTGTTCACTAGATTAGTAAGCAAGCCATGCTTACCTTGCTTACTGGGTACTCTTTTCCTGTCGGGGGTTGTCAATTTGAAAAGCAGCTTTGATTCCGGGGGAGAGATGCCAGCCATACCCAGGAGTGGAATCTTTGATGTGATAAAAAAATGTGAAATTGTTTACTACAGACTAGTAAGTCAGTCCATGTAACCTTGTGCGCTTACCTGGCATTATTACTGGGCAATCCTACACAGCAGAGCAGCTGATGGGCCCAGTGGATGACGTATCAGTTAGCAGTCTGTGCTCAGCCCCTGTACCTCCAGGGCATGGTAGGCACCCCTTTCCTCTTAGCTACTAGCATGCAAGTCCCAGGAAGGCAGGATCCATAT